ATCCGAAATGATATCGCCGCCTGAACCGATCGAAGCTCAAGAGAAATTTTATTACACAATTATTGCGCCGAAAAAATTTCGTGGCAATTCAATATACACATTGAATCTGACGATTCACGATGCCACGGAACAAATTGATGAACCAATTGTGGTGCGAGTCTCGATCGAAGATGAGGATACGGATGATGGATTCGAAATTCATCAAGATGTTACAATGAAACCAAATTGCACCGAAGTCGTTTCGATTGCGGTGCCAGAATTGTCGCTCGAGCCCAACTACAAACTCGTTGTCAAAGGCATTTCGGGTGTCACATTGGAAAAGGAAGTGAGCCTTGATCTCCAAACGCAAACCCATACAATCCTTATTCAAACGGATAAAGCGATGTACAAACCAAATGATTGCATCAAATATCGAGTATTGGTGCTAGACTTCGAACTGAAAGCAGCTCCAATCGATCGAAATGAACTCAGCATTTCATTCACCGTAAGTAGTTGCAACAGTTTTATTACAATTTATATTCTTCATTCGATGTGCAATTACTTTGCGCTTTGCATTAGTGATGTCATTCATGTCATTGCTATCACAATTAAATCGATGACTAATGGCCACCAAAACTAAAACTCTGTTGCATGATTTGTTATCTTTTACCCGATAAGGATCCATGTCGTAATATCATGAAAAAATTGAATGGCGTCAACACTATCAACGGTGTGTATACGGGTGAATTCCAATTGTCGGACCTTCCAAAATTGGGCGAATGGAAAATTTGTGCTGCCGTCGGCGATCAGGTCAGTTGTCCAAGGACACCAATTTACATAATTTTATTGTGTATTTACATGATTTTTCATGCGATCTTTGACTTATTATTTCGTTGGACGTAGTTTGAATTGAAAGTAGGCATGAAATTGAGATAAAACTAGATGAAACATCTGGAATTTGTGAAATTTGGATAAAGTAATATTTTTACATTTGATTAAATTCTTGGAAAATACGTCAGTTTGAACAGTTTTAGTTCCTAGGTAGGGGATTTATTTTGCTTTCATCTTGATAAGGGTTTTTTAAAATGACTTTTTTTATCTTAATGACATATCGACACATCCACCGTACAATGTTTGATATACTTTGTGTGATTATTATCCTCACAAAATCCCAATTATTCTTCCGTTACTTTTGAACTCATGAACTTTAAGCATTATCTTAACTGTCGATCTGAAACTAAGTCTCATACTGGGTTTTACCGCGTTTCCGTTCTTGCGGTCAATTCTAGTTTCTAATCAATTGGTACAGCAAATGCAATTATTCAAATATGTGCACATTGAAAAGTGGTCGTTCTATCTGGTGGTTTCAGTTCGACACGCAATATTTGCCACCAAATACCAAAACCCATGAAACGGAACTTCGCACTCTTATCATATCATCTGCTTCTTTTCGTTACAAATTGTATACATGTAAATCCAGTTGAATCTGAAACCACATTTCACGAAGAAAATGTTAAATTTTTCGAAATTCAATGCATGTGGTCTTTCGATTTCAAAAATGTAATTAAACAACAAAGTAATGAATGAAATTATGATAATAATTCAGAATTCCAATTTAAAGTTATCACAAAATCCGTTAAAAAAGATAAAAAGCTAATGAAAGTACTACATTTCAATTTTTTATTTGTCAATTAAATTTCATTTTAGATCAAAATTGCCGTAATCGAAGTAACCGAGTATGTTTTACCAAAGTTCGAAGCCATAATTGAATCAGCAGATCATTTCACTCTGGATGATGAGAAGATTCGTACAGTTGTTCGAGCCAAATACACGCATGGCAAGCCGCTAAGAGGATCAGTTACTGTTTCGGTGACGGAAGAGGAAACTTTTAGTTATTATTGTCGAAAATATTCTCAAAGTAACGAAGAAGATGACGATATTGTCTTGGCGAAGAAAACATTCAATATTGATGGAAAAGAAACGGTTGAATTTGACATCGCAAAAGAGCTAAAATGCGAACGAAATAAAAAAAACCGATGGGAAACGTTGAGAAATTTCAAAATCAAAGTTGATGTCACTGAAGGTCTCACTGGATTGGTACAACCTGTCGATAAAGACATCAAAGTTCACCTTGACTCATACGATATAAGTACAGATCTACATGCAAAAGATCCTGAACGTGACAGCACTCTCGACATAACTGTAAATATACTTTGTTTCTGCTCTTCTCTTCGTCTTCTTCTTTATTGACTTGAAATACATTTAATTTGATTTGCTAATAAGTAATAGCGTTGATAATTTTTTCAATGGATGCAGATTTCGGTACGAAAACATGACGGTTCGGCGATCACTTTCCTTGATCCAAGCAAGAAGAAGATAAAGGTGAACAGAGAACAATATTATGCAGATGTTGATGGAAGCACTAAAACTGAAACCGAACATGAGCTCGATGACAGCGGCGATGCCTTCTTCACTTTAGATGTTGCGAAAAATGAGTCTAGCTTCTCGTTGAAGGTAATCTTTTGTGTGTGCGATTGTTTTTTATTATTTTTAATTTTGCATGCATTTGATTTTTTCAAACATTTTGATTCAAAATGATTAGAAAATTATGTTTCTTCTAATTTTTTTCATCTTTATAATTAATCGTCTACAATTTGAAAATTGTCTTCTTCTAGGTGACTTATGGTAGTCAAGAAACGGATCTGGGAATGTTCTACACCAAGCCCGTTACTGTTGCTGACAAAGTCAGCTTAAGGGCCAAAGTGTTGACGGAAAAGTATGAACACGTTTTTGTTCAATTTAACAATTTACCGATTTCGATTGGATTTTTTCTCATGAAATACGTCTACCACTATTGATATAGATGCTCCATAAACAAAAAGATCGAAGTTGAGGTCATGTCTCACTTTCCATACCGATCATACACGTACCTCATCGCCTGTAGAGGCAAAATTCTCGAAACAAAAACCGTTGAGCCTGTCTTCGATGATGCCGAAACCGCTGAATACGTACATCGATTCTCGTTTTTGCCGACATTCGATTATGCACCCAGGTCGCATATCATTGTTTATTGCGTGAGAGATGGTTCGATCGTTTCAACGAGCGTAAATGCCGAAATGTATGATGACTTCAAGAACTACATCAATTTAGATGTCTCACCAAATACGGCAAAACCTGGTCAAGTCGTCGACATCAATGTCAAGAGCAACCCCAATTCATATATCGGCTTACTTGGCATCGACAAGAGTTGCCTGATTCTGCGTAGCGGTAACGATTTGGCTCAAGATGAAATTTGGAATGAATTGGATCTATTCCATTCGGAAGTCAAGCGTAGATGCTACGATTATGAGGAGAAGAGAATGAGAAAAATGCCACATTATACCAATTTATGGGAGGAATTTGCAGTGAGTACATTTTTCTCAGAATTTGCTGTCGCAATTTCATATTGCGGCGTCGAAATGTGTCAAATCTATTCAACTTAGAACTAATTACTAATTAGTTTTTGAATTGAATATTTCTGACCATGGAATTCGTTTGTCATGCATTTTCACAGAAAGCTGATCTGATCACATTCACAAACACCATTGAACCGATTCCAATACGATTTTGCTACAAGATGATGGCATGCGCTGAAATGTCGCGATCATCATGCTTTTCGGAACCAGAAGCTGTTATTCAACCAAAGATTCGCAAAGATTTCCCAGAAACTTGGATTTGGGAATCGGTGCAGGACAAAAGGTACTCTATAGTCTACTTAGAAATCGTAGAAAAATAAATCTCAGATTCTACTGAAAATAAAACATTCATTATTATTCCCCTAAGCTTCAATGGAATGTTGAACCTAAAGAAAAAAGTGCCGGATTCGTTGACCACATGGATTTTGACTGGATTTTCAATTGATCCAATCAATGGTTTGGCCATAACCAAGACGCCAGCCAAGTTGTGCGTTCAACAGCCATTTCACATTTCGCTCAATTTGCCTTATTCCGTCAAGCGGGGCGAAGTTTTAACGATCCCTTGCTCAATTTTCAATTATCTACCTGATCAAGTCGTGACCGAGGTCATATTCGAGAACGAACACGATGAATTCGAGTTTGTGGATGCGGCTGTGGACGATAAAATCTACCCAGAGCTCACAAAGGAACGCACTCGCAAGAAGAAGCTCACCATTCTCTCTGACGATGCTGTGAACGCCTTGTTCACCATTCGTCCAACCAAAGTTGGCTTGATTTCGCTCAAAGTATCGGCAATATCACAAACTGCAAGTGATTGTATCGTTAAAACTCTGAACGTCGAGTGTGAAGGTGTTCCTCAATTCGTAAATAACGCAGTATTCGTGGATTTGCGACAGAAACCCAAAATTGACCCAATCGATGTGGCGATCGAAATCCCAAAGATTGCTCTACCAGACTCGACACGCATCGAAATCATTTGCATAGGTGATATTCTCGGTGGGACTATCAAGAATTTGCAATCACTCATCCGCCTTCCATACGGTTGCGGTGAACAAAATATGCTGAACTTTGTACCTTGTATTGTCGTTTTGAACTATTTGAAGAACACTCATCAACTGACGGCAGAGATCGAAGTAAAGGCAAAGAAGTACATGGAAATCGGATACCAACGAGAGTTGAGCTACAAGCATAAGGACGGATCATTCAGTGCCTTTGGAGACTCGGATAAGAGCGGCAGTACCTGGCTCACAGCATTCGTGGCTAGATCATTCCGACAAGCGGCCGAGCATATTACCATTCAAGATGACATCATCGACGAAGCACTGAAATGGTTGAGTGAAGCACAATCGTCCAATGGCAGTTTCACTGAGAAGGGAAGCATTTGCTATAAAGAGATGCAAGCCGGTGCTGCTGACGGTGTCGCTCTTACCGCTTATGTTTTGACCGCATTTTTGGTGAACAAGGTAATTTCAAAATAAATTTATAACGATTTCTTTCTTGATTCTATTTCATTTTTTATTATTTCTACGTTTTTTAACAGAATTCAAGCGATGCTTACAAAAAAACCATTGAAAAAGCAATCGAAAATATTGTCAAATCGATTGAGAAATGCACTGATGTATACGCATTAGCTGTGTCTGCATATGCCTTGCAGTTAGCTGGTCACAATTCCAAAAATGATGCAGTGGCTCGACTCAAAGAACTGGCAAAATCGAAAGGTATACCTTCTCTATCTATGAATACTTATCTCATAGATGAAAATATGTCTTTTAGTTAAGAACTACTTTGGAAAAAGGTTCCAAATATTATATTTCATTTTTCACATAGACAACGTAAAATGGTGGGACAAATCGATTGAATTGAAGCAATGGGACGGACGTGATTCAAAGACTCTCAACGTTGAAGTTACTGCTTATGCACTCTTAACGTTGATGTTGAGTGAATCAGATGCATCGTGTCTGCCGATATTGAAATGGCTTCTGAGTCAACGTAACGACAAAGGCGGATTTGAAGGTACCCAAGATACGATCGTTGGCATTGAAGCATTGGCTAAGTTTGCCGCGAAAATTGCTACCAAAGATACGGATGCAAAAATTGCAATTGCCGCTTCGAATAACGCCAAATATAACTTTGATATAAATAAAGAGAATGTATTGGTTTTGCAATCTCAAAAGGTATGAACCATTTTATCGTTGATTCGGATTAAGTAATTGAAATTAAAAGTAGCACCGAATAAAATGGAAATTTCCTTTTGAAATATAGTTGGAGCCAGATGTAAAATCAGTACGCATAAATGCGACTGGCAAAGGGTCGGCACTTTTGGAAGTGGGATATCGTTACAATGTGAATGCACCGGAGGCAGTAAAAGCCTTTTCACTGACACCAAATGTTCAACTGTTGAATAAGGAGCATCTACGCCTTGAGCTAACGACAAGCTTCCAACCACCCAAAGGAAGAGACAACGTCAAGCAATCGAATATGGTTGTTCTGGAAGCGGCGTTGCCTAGTGGTTTCGTTGTCAATCCAGATTTATTAGATGGCCTCAAAACCACACTACCCATCATCAAACGCATCGAAACAAAGAATGGAGACACTGTGGCAGTGCTTTACTTCGATCATCTCACTTCAGAAGCAGTTTCATTGAAGATTGACGGATTTCGAGAGCATATTGTCGACGAACAAAAACCAGCCTCAGTCGTAATTTATGATTACTATGACAATGGTAGAGCATTTTCAATCAAAATAAATACATATAAGCTAAATTGATAATGATTTCATTTTTTCGCAGCACTAAGTGCCCGAGAATTCTATTCTCTGCCAGTTGAAACGAAGATGGAGGTTGATGCACCAAATAAAGCCTAGTTAATCACGA